TACGTCTTTGCCAAGAGTCATCAGACACATGACAGACATCGTTAACAACGTCTCTCCTTCATCCAAGACTGTAACAGATTCCGGAGCACCACTCCCTTCGTCACCTTCACCTCCTGAACGATATACTATGACAGACATCGTTCATATACGAGCAGAGTTCGCATCTCAATAACGTATCTTTGTAACACTTGAGCTACTTCCTTATTGCATTTCTGGAAGATTAAATAAAAGATCGGTGAAGGAATTGTGTCCAAAAATAAGCAGAATGATAAAGTCTCTTTGTGATTAATAACTGCAACTACATCTTGTCTTACATCATAATTCTGTAAGGGTTTGACGAGCAGTTTCTTCTTGATCATAGATACATTGTTCTATTACATAGGCGTTTGAATCTCAGCTTCCATATCTACTTATCTTCTGTTGTTTTTCAGAATTTCCTTCTTTTCAAAGATCAATTTTCAATAAATTGCATGAAATTCTTGTCAAACTTTCCTAACATGTTTAGTTATTGAGATCATATTATAAAATAAAAACTTTTGCGGCTCTGATCCTTACTATTGAGAAGATTGTCAGAAAAGATAGTGAAAAATAGAGGTTTAATGTGTGCGAATGTTTTTCCAATATGCCACAATCTACAGCGCTCGGACCATTCTCATATTAAGGATAGCTTCGAACGGCTTCAAATGAAGAAAACATCTTTTTCGTTTTTACTTTATTTACTTTTTGGCATCCACAAAATCTTAGACAATACTTTCTAGAAAACCTTTGATTACTTTGATGTCGAGAATCGAATCGGAAATTTCTTCTCTCCAATCGTACTAGTATGCATCTATCTATCGAATAAAAAAATCAAGCAGCTCACTTGAATGAACACTATCAAAAAGGACTTTGTTTAAACACAAAAACTAATCTCGAGAAAAATGCGCGAGCATTTTTTTAAGTATTTACTTGAAGAATTTCATAATATGAACATCAAAAATTCATCTAGAGTCTTATCGAATTGTTTTCGCAATTCATGAAAAGGTGGTGTAGCTACCTGTAATAGCGTTCATGATTTTCTTATGGATATAATATTCACTTTTTCGGTAGAGAACTCTACAAATCGATCATGATTTCTGAGAAAGTCTTTTAAACTTGAAAGTTATTCTTAAGAATTTCCAAATAAGATACCTCATTAGTCATAGCTATACGTTTATCGTAAAAAGTGTTCCTAAATACTCGAAACCGTGTTATTTGAATGATTTAACAAATTATTTTTTCTAAAAGCAGTCAACACATATTTTTATTTGTATTAATTATCTAAGCGTAAATAAACATACACGTTTCTTTAATTTAAAATTGTGTCTCGATATCTCTTTTTTAGCAGTGTCAATCATTAAATGCACACACATGAAAAGCACGATGCTGTGCTAACCTTTGGACAAACATTTTGATTATTATCCTAGTGGCTTTAGCATATAGTTTTATGATTCGTTATGTGACTCGATTTGCTGAAACAAATATTTGCTCTTATTATTGCTCTTGTTTATCTTTGTGAACCATTTAAAAAACTTTATAAGGTAAAAAAAAATATCATTCTATATCTCATTATCTTATGACTTTATTTTTCATACAGATATTTCTTTCAAATTCAGTTCAATATTGAATACAACATTAACTTTTGACAAGATGAATTCATCATTTGATGACTTATTATTTTCTTCTACATCAAAATATTCATGTTATAATTGTATATCAAAACAAGATTTGTTTTCTTCTTCAAATTCATTATATAATAATTCCATTTCAAAATCAAATGATGAAAATCAATTGCCAAATAAAGCACTTCTTTCATTTATAATACTTATTGGAACATGTTTTATTTCTGTGGCCCTTAAACGCTTTCGACGAAGTAATTTTTTTGGTCGAACGGTAAGTTTACCTAAAATGAAAAAAAATATTTAAACAAATATTGCCATAAAGTACACTGTTTTTTTATTTATTTGTTACTCTTTAGTTCAATATTTATTCTAGAACATATATAAGTGATGGAATATTAATGATTTACTAATTAGATTTAAGTTTAACAGAAATTCATACGAAGAAAAAAAGAATGCCAACAGAATATTTAATCCTCTTTTAAATCAAACTATACAGTAGTCTCAAAATGTTGCACTATCAGGCAGAAAATATATCAACTTTAATTCTTTACCATCATAATTTAAGCACAGATAGAATATGTTGAACTGTGATCGCAAAGGCTATTCAGACCTTCAGTGGTGTTCATAAGGAGAATCTAGAAGGTCAACACAGATTTTTTCTTTAAACAACGATGCCTCAACATGAACAAAAGAACTCATGACGCCAAATTCCTCGTTCGACAGCTCAGTACTACCTCTATTACCAAGAAAAACTCCATATCAAACAGTTTTAGTTTGCCTGATTTATGGAGTATTCTTTGAGTAATTCCGACATGAGAGTTGGTATCTGCGGTCAGTTTTAACGGTTTATCTTGAATTTTTTTCAACAAGGGTTCTGTTCTAACCAAGTTTCTCCTCAAAACTAGGATCGCAGTCATCGATGCAGAGCAGATCGATACTGAGACCATTCCAGATTATTGAGACTTCTCGATGCTTACAGATTAAAGCCGAGTGAAGTACTCCATCTGTGAGACAATACTAATATTCGAATCTTGATTTGTTAATAAGAAAATGGAGGTTAAAAGATTTCAATAGTGAGAAGTTAGAACAGTGCCGAAAAAAAAACCATTTTTGGGATTCTAGGTAAAAAATCAGCGTGTTCATCATAAATTCTTTGCATTAAGTCCTGTCAATCTGGAGTTGCTGCTTGTAAACAGAGGTTACCGAGCTCAATTTTTAATCAAAATCTTAAGCAAAAGGGTTAAAGTTTATGTACTTTTTATTCGGTAGCAGGACTTCTCGCGACCATTGTACATGCATTTAATGTATTGAAAAATAATCCTACTCTTAATGATAAATGTTTCATTTGATTGTCTCATCGTCAAACAAAATTCTATAGTTGCACTTATATAATAAAGATATTTCGATGTTGTTCGAAATGAAATTTTTCAAATCCTACTATATTAAAAAATGCCACGGTCTATCAATATTTTTTCTTCAATCTTATTATACAATTATCAATTTGATTGTAGGGTACTCAATGTACTTGACTACGAAGAGATAGACTAAACCTATACAATCAGATGCAGCATTATGAACACTTTTGGAATTAACGAAATCTGTTCCATATGAGAGAGTATTCGTAGAGTAGAGAATCAAACAAATTTTAATCAAAATATCACTTTCTATCTCCTTCTGATGTGAGTGCTTTCTATTCTCACATTAAATCTTTTGTGACTTGTAGTACTTTAAATTTGTTAACTAGATACATTTCAAATATCACTTTCAGATTTTACCTCGTCAGTTTTAAACCTTATCATTGATGCATTGACTGACATCATGATTCATTCTAATTCAAATTAGTTTCACAATCACTAATATATTCGATTCTTTTTCTTATAAAAATATTTGCTTTAGTACTTATGCATACTTGAAATTAATGTGTTCACTCACGATGACAGACCAAGTTATTTATCTTTGATAAAGTTCATTTTTTTGCTCTAAGTCAAGAACATTGTGAGATACCATATTTGATAGATAAAGTTCGAAAAGCTGTTGAAAAAGAAGGATATTTGTTCACTCATTCTTTTTTTTTCTATCTGTTTTTTCACTTACATTAAGAATGAAATCATGGGACCTATTTATTTCAATAGCACTTTTTATTGATAATCATATTGACAAGGTCAATACATACAGAGGAGACCAAAAGAAAATAAGTTCACATTGAGAATCAAGTAGCGTTCATTACGACAGATTTTACTGTATACCCATAGAAAAACATGAAATGCAAATAAACAATAGAATGTATGTGTAGAATATCTGTATTCCATATTGAAAATTTTAATGACTCTTTCGACATTCTCATAAAATTTACATTTCATTTTAGACAAGACAAACATTGAGTGATTTTGGTATGACAATAGCGCTTATTTGTATGGTGCTTTTCGATATGTTAGTTACAAAGAGTGCTGGTGGTCATAGTCTTACACAAGTAATAAAAAAAAATAAACATGATTTGAAAATAAAGTTGTTTTTTTTTTTACATATGTATACATTTGTTTGATTTTATGTAGAAAATAACTGTGCCCGATTCAATTCGACCTAGTGATTTAGAACGTGGTAATATTTGGTTTATATCTCCATTACGAAAAAGATTACAATTTTGGGTTTATTTTGCATCATCATTTCCTGCTATTTTAATCTCTGTAGTACTTTTTTTCGAAGTTGAACTAACTAGGTAATAAGAAACCGAAGAGAATTACAAACCAAAAATTATATTCTTTTTCTTCTTTTTTGTTTATTAGTATTATGATTCAATCAAAACTTAAATCTGTTCATTCAACAAAAGTTATCAAAGGAACTGGTTATCATTTAGATATAATGATAGCTGGTATATTGATTTGTTTGAAATTATATTTATCTTATTTCTTTATTTCATTTGAGGTATTTTAATATCGATTAGTGGATTATTTGGTCTTCCTTGGATATGTGCAGCACCTGTAAGAAGTATTGCTCATGTAGCTAGTTTATCTAAATATAGTAATACTCATGCACCTGGAGAAAAAGCTCGTTTAATTGATATAAAAGATCAACGTTTAACAAATATAGGTGTACATTTATTTATTGGTTGTACAATATTTGCAGCTACAATAATTCGTAAAATTCCAGTTGCTGCTTCATTTGGTATATTTTTATATTTTGGTATTGTATCTATATCTGGTACACAATTATTTAGTCGAATTAAAATGACATTTATTCCAACAAAATATCATCCAAATTTTGGCTATTTAAGACGAGTATGTATAAGAATCTTATGGTGTAAACAAAGAGGAAACAGCAGATATTTCAGTTGTTAAGTTCAATGTAGTCTGTCAAAGTGAGGAATCCAAGAGCAATTAAAACTATTCAGTTTTACTTTTATTCTCTCTAAACTACTATCATTCATATTTTTCATCCTTTAGTTAGCTACGCTTTTTTTACTTCGTTTTATTCCTTTTATGGTGTAAGTGTAGGTAGTTGAGAGCGAATAGAACAAGCACATTCAAATTACGTGTGGGTGTGAGTGTGTAGGCTATGGATAAGGATATGGAATGTGGGTAAAACACAAAGCTGACACCTACATCGACATACATACGCATAGCCACAACCTATATTTTGACAACTTGACTTTTGATATTTATTTTATTAAAGACTTCAATATCTCGACTTGTCTATACTTCGTTATTCTTACTTTTAGACATTTTTACATTGTTCATGTTTACATTTAACAATTTTATTTTGACATTAGTAGAGTAAATCCTCTCGAAGACTGCTCAGGTCCTTTAAAGGCTTTCGAAATTATTTGAAAATTTGAAATCAATTTACTTGAAGATTCATGAAGCTTAATGAAGACTGATTTTTTTCCTCGATCTAAGTGATAAATGAAATATTTGCTTGCTTTAAGGTTCGTCAAATGAAACGCCATATATATACATTTATACAAGTGATTGCTGCAGGCTTATTAATTACGATTAAAATGACAAATTTCGCTTTTCTTTTTCCACTTATACTTATCTTACTTGTACCATTTCGAAAAATGTGTCTTCCATTTATTTTTACAGAACGAGAACTTACTGAGGTAAATTTTATTAATAATTATGTTTATAAAAAAAGAAAAACGTTTGTTGTATTTATTTTAGCTTGATGGTGATGAAGCAATGAGTAGTACCTTTGATGATGAAATTGACTTTTATGGTCAAGTTCATTTACCAATATGATGGTGCAAATAATATTATTTTGATCGGTTTTTTCTCCGGTGGTTTGCTGTTATGTTTATTTTTTCTTTAAAACAAAAACTCATTACAAGAAAATTATAGCAAAGAACAAAACGATGTATTGGTAATATAAGAGAAGAAATGTTTCATTAACATATCTTTTATTTTTACTGTTCTTTTGTACATTTGTTGAATCATTTTTTTTAAATTACCATTGTGAATGTAACTGTAATTAGGCTGTCTGTTCGCGGTGTTCATCTTTGTGAACAGTACAATAAAGAAGCTCAGAAACAATCGCTGGATATTTTTCAGCGAAGGGTTTCCACAATTCACTTATATCCATAACTTCCCTAGCATGATCAATAAAATAATCAATACATCTTTGTTTAAGTAATATATTATCGTATAGAAATGCAGCTTCTGTTAATCTCAAGACATTATTGGTATCGATATGATTTACAAGAACTTAATGAAGATGAAAAATCATGTGATTATAATAACTTAAATTTCATAGAAAAATAGAACTTACATCGAGCAGTATATACTTTTAAACTTTTAATATCATATCGACCAGCAGCATCGAGAAGGTGAAATGCTACAATTAAAATATCAGTTTTATATATCATTATATTATAATGATGAAAAAAAAAACAAAATAAAAGAATTTTTACCATTGCGTTCATTTAATTCACAATTAGCTGTATACATAAATATAATAACTTGTTTCATTATTTCAGGACTAGTTCTAGTAATAGATATTACCAATTTATTATTCTTCGTAGATGTTTCAAGTTCATTTTTGGTCTTAAGATCAAGTCGACTGTAATTGCCCGACATAACAGCTGTCAGAAAAAAATACTCATATTTAATATTATTAAAATATTCATTAGTGTTTGATTGTCATTTACCAGAAAAAGTATTTGAACGTGCAGCGAGAACACATCGATGAACAGCCATATAAGTACCTGTTAGAAAAAGAAATTCAATTCATAGAATATCTAATGAATAAAGGAGGTATATCAAATATGATTTACCATTAACATTGAGCCAACAGTCACTAATATCTGTTCTATTCAGTAAGTCAGCGAAATCCTTCGATAGATGTTTAAGTAATTCGAGATCGGAACTAGCATCATTTGTCCGTTTATAATCAGCGGTTGTATACCAGTGATCGTGTTGCTTGTTAGTTGAGGCCGGTCTTGAACGGTTCCTTGACAAAGGTTTTTCTGAAGTGTACGTTTCTCCTCGTCGTCCTTTTGACTGTTCTTGTGAATCATACTCATCAGTACTGTTGCGAAGTCGTGTGAAGTTTGCATCCATGTTTATTATCAAAGTAACCTGACTGCAAAAAAAACCAAAAACGTAGCCTTTTATAGTCTAACAGTCTTGTGTTATATCATTATGGTAACTATCAGTAGAATAACAACACGCGCAGTCAAGGACTCATGCAAAAAAAAAACGTGTTTGCTAGATAATATTTACTCTTTAATTCCTCTCAAAATTGTAAATAGATAAACGAGTTTTTCGAGCATAAGAGATTTGTGAAGTATCAAAATGAAAAGGGTTCAGCCAGCAACTATTTCTTTCTCATTACGTTACAATAGAAATTAAACTGAAAATCAGTCGTTTTTAGTTTATTAAATACTAACAAGATATGAATATGTGTAAATATGACTATAGACAGTTCTTATCTTTGTTGATAATAATCTTTTCGTCAAACAATTCAAGTATCACAGTATTAGTTGCGAAATATAAAAATATTGATGGTTTTTTTTTTAATAGAATATCAGAGAACATAGTCATTTTTACATCATACATATATTTCTATGCATTTCGTATAGTTTTAGGTCAATGTAAGGTTCTTCATTCAAACACATATCCACACCCTATACTGGTATGAAAAAAAGCGAGACTTCAGTACTATGCACTACGATGAGATACAAATGAAATACTATGAAGTATTAGTGGAATACTGTCTTGCACTCATACTTCACTGTATTTCATTTGTCTTTCAGGTGTGCTTCATTTGTACTTTGTATTTCACGCGTACTTTAGAGTACTGAATTCCTGCTTTTTTCTTCTTGTCCTATCTACATATCATGGGTAGTAAACATTGTCTTGTGTATCAAATACATCCGAATAGAAAAAAAAACAAAGTAAAAATGAAATTTAACTGACTTGTTAATCAATTTTCATAATTGTAAGGTATTTAAGAAGATGTTAATTTCTGACTTCATAACACTTGATCTATTGACAAATTATAAAGAATGTTTTTGATTAAATATACGAACGAAGTATCCGTAAAGCGAACAATAAATTCGTCGAACAGAAGAAAATACACTCATATTGGACACTTCAATTTATTTGAGTCTACGACTGAAATGACGAAAAAGGCTATAATGTGCTGTATCTTTTTAGATTTTTTCCTATTTCTATATCTTTGCACACTCGTCAGCGTTTATTAAGATTGATTATGCATTGTATTTGCCAAGATTAACAGCTAACAATAAAGAATGGTGACGTATAAGAATGTGTGTTGGCTCCTTTTGGTTTTCATCACTAAAACCATTGGATGTAGGTATAGAGAAAACGATTACTCACATCCGCAATGAAATATTACAATAGCTTTTGACTATATGAATAGAAGAGACGATGAATTCAAAGACGAACTTATACTTATTTTCCTTAAGACTTTTTCCTTTGTGGATTGAATGAGTGCTAGTTTACCAAGGAAAGTGCTAGATGAATAAAACTTTTAGGAAAGCTAACGGATATAGAGTAGTGCTGCTTGCGGAAAATATGAGGTTCTCAATCGCTTCTGAACATATATATGACTTCTTTCATTTTTGGTAGTTTCGACTAAGAAACAGAATAATTTGTCTCTTTTTGTGAAACACTATCTAAAAGATGTGTTGAACTTAAGAAGTAGATGTTTCGACCCAGCTCAACCTCCTCTGGACGTAACGAGTTCAGTATTCCCTAGAATTTTCTGCTCAATTTTAATAATTTTTCGTATATAAACAATCAAAATACTAATCGCTTTTTTAATATCTATTTATTTTTATTTTTTCCAACCGATTTGTGATCTTTTCTATTCAGTAAGGTCGAATTTTCCATCACAATTTATTAGAGTTTTGTCTATATTTGATTTAACTACACCTGATGAGATATTGTCCTTCTGAATATAAAAATTCAGCAGTTTTCATCAATCCTACAAAAACTTCTGAAATACCATTCAAAATCCATGCTGCATTTTTGTATATGTTTTATTATCAATACTAACAAGAACCCGTGTATACTGCACGGCGGTTTTTTCTTCTTTAGCTCACTATCGCAAACCTTTAACCTTTCACTGGGTAACAGACACACAGACACTTGACATTATGTATATAGAAGCCCTACGGCGTGATATGGTTATATCGCTAATAGTCTCTGTAACCTTACGGCCTTATAGTCTTATATTTCTTGTAACCTTACTCCCTTAAAATGGTTCCTCCCTTATAGTGTTCCGTGTTATAGCCTTACTTCCTTACAGCCTTCCCATTTTATTGCATTACTCCTTTATAGCTGTATCCTCTTATTGCCTTACCATGTTATAGCTGTACCCCTTTATAATCTTCCTCATTATAGCCATCTTGATCTTTAATCTTTGACCTGGTAATAGACAGACAACCGTGTTTTGTTTTAGAGGTATGGATGTCGCTTAACTGCATGTTATGCACCAAGCCGATTGATGTGATATTTCTACCGATGATAGAACTAATTAAGTTCCACCGCCTAGAATATCCCACGATTTTTTTATCTTTCAGAAAAGTAAACATTTTTAATTAAAAGTCATATTTTCCCATCATTAATAAGATTTGTTAGAAGATATTAGTCTATTTTCATAGATTATACTTTATCAACTGGTTAATAATTTCTTATGTAATTACCTTTCTGTTGTGGATGGTATGCTGATATAAGACTACTAAAAAAGAATAAGAAAAACGTATTGTTTTGCTAGAACGATTTTTTCAACCCTTTGTATAGACTATTGATTGGTCATTGTATGACCTTAGGATCAAGACTGTAAATGACTGTAAACAGTAAAACAAAAATTAATGTCTGCCCACGAGTGATTTAAATCAACAAGATGCCTTACTATTCGATGCAAAACTATTGAAAAGAAACGAGATATTCTAAAGAATCAAGATGTATTCCATGAAACTCTAGAAGACTTCATGAGGCTTCAAAAGATTCTACATGACTCCAAGAAATTCTGGTGAACTTCATAAGAGTGGGGTTCTAATGAGTCTGCTACTCACCTCTCGAGTATATTTCATTAAAAAATATGTTTATAAAAAAGAAAAGCGTTTGTTACATTTATTTAAACTTGATGATGATGAAGAACTAGATAGTAACTTTATGATCAAGTTCATTTACCAATATGATGATGCAAATAATATTATGTTGATTGGTTTTTTTTCTCCGATGGTTTGCTGTTATGTTTATTTTTTCTTTAAGACAAAAACTCATTACAAGAAAATTATAGCGAAGAACAAAACGATGTATTGGTAATATAAGAGAAAACATGTTTCATTAACATATCTTTTATTTTTACTGTTCTTTTGTATATTTGTTAAATTATTTTTTTTCAAAAATTACCATTGTGATTGTAACTGTGATCGTTCTACTCGTTCGCGGTACTCATCTTTGTGAACAGTCCAATAGAGAAGCTCAGAAACAATCGCTGGATATTTTTCAGCGAAGGGTTTCCACAATTCACTTACATCCATAACTTCCCTACCATGATCAATAAAATAATCAATACAACTTTGTTTAAGTAATATATTATTGTATATATATGCGGATTCTATTAATCTTAATACATTATGTCTATTGATATGATTTATAAGAACTTAATAAAGATAAAAGAAGCATGTGATAAATTAAGTGTCATAGAAAAATAAAACTTACATTGAGCAGTATATACTTTTAAACTTTTAATATCATATCGACCAGCAGCATCAAGAAGGTAAAATGCTACAATTAAAAAAAAAATTTCACATATCATTATATAATAATAATGAAAAAACAAAATAAAAGAATTTTTACCATTGGTTTCATTTAATTCACACTTAGCTGTATACATAAATATAATAACTTGTTTCATTATTTCAGGATCAGTTTTCTTAATAAAAATTACTAATTTATCATTTTTATGTAATGTTTGAAGTTCTTTTTTTATATCAGGATCAAGTTTACTATTATTGCCTGACATAATAGCTATTAGAAAAGTAGTTCATATTTAATATTATTAAAATATTCATTATTGTTTGATTGTCATTTACCAGAAAAAGTACTTGAACGTGCAGCGAGAACACATTGATGAACAGCCATATAAGTATCTGTTAGAAAAAGAAATTCAATTCATAGAATATTTAATGAATAATGGAGTCACATCAAATATGATTTACCATTAACATTGAGCCAACAGTCACTAATATCTGTTCTATTGAGTAGATAGCCAAAATCATTCGCTAATTCTTTCAGTAGTTCTACATTATATTTGGCACTGCTTGGTTTTTTGTAACCAGCATTTGTGAACGATTGACCTTGTTGAGTGTTAGTTGAGGTTTTTGGAAAACGATTTCCCAATACAAATTGTTCTGGAGTTCCGGTGATACCTTGTCGTTCTGCTAAAAATATTCGTGCCTTTGGCTACTGTTATGAGTCGTAATCAACATTACCGTTATGAGATGCTGTGGTTGTTGAATCCATGTTTATTATCGAAGTAACCTGACTGCAAAAGAAAAACAAAAACATAGGCTTTTATAGTTTAACAGTCTTTCGTTATATCATCATGGTAACTATCAGTAGAATAACAACACGCGCAGTCAAGGACTCATTCAAAAAAGTGTTTGCTAGATAATATTTACTATTGTCCCTCTCGAAATTGTAAATAGATAAACAAGTTTTCGAATATAAGAGATAGGTTAAGTATCAAAATGGAAACAGTTTTAGACAGTAACTACTACTTTGTCACCACATTATAATAGAAATAAAATAAAAAACCAATGATTTTGAAATTTTTAAATGCGTAGACAGATGTATACATGTAAATATGATCATAGACAGTTCTTATTTTCGTTGACAATAACTTTCTCATCAAATAATTCAAGTACGAGAGTATTAATTGGGAAACATGTAAATAAAGACGCTTTATTTTTTATAAAAGATCGAAGAATGTGGCCATTTTTGTATCATATATATTTTTGTACTGTTTTAGGTGAGAATGGAGCTCTTTACTCATGAAAGAACATATCCAAGTGTGAAATCGCTTGTGGATCGAGTATATACTCAAAAGACAGACATCAATCAGTTACGAAACACCATACAAGAGTTTGGTTGTCTAGGCCTCCTGAGCCACGGTATACGATTATTACTATTACTAGTTTTCTCAGAGTTTGAAAATAAAAGATTTTTATTTTTATTGAACATATGAATTTGTTTGGTACAGTGATTGAGTATTAAAAAATCGCATGTGCTTTTACTCAAAGATACAAGTAGGAATTCACATTTTAATTTCAGCACATATTTATTTACGAGTGAAGATGCGTGTAGAGATGTCAGTTCAATCGTTGATGGTGCAGTTACTGAAAATTGAAAGAATGAATTCATGTACTTTTCAATATGAAACATGTGGCACTGATATAGCAAACTTAATTTTCGAACGATGTCCGTATCTCGCATGTATATATTACTGGCAAACATCAAATCTGTTTTTATTTTAATGCACTCTTCGCATAGACTCGTTGATGGTCGAAATAGGCAAAGTGAGGTAATTGGATACTAATGTAATTCAAAAGAGGATGGTATGTAAATTGCAAGAAGAAGCGTCTAAAAGAGCACATGGTCGTGCTGACTATATACATACTTAATCACGACATATGATGTCTACTACTATTGCAGATAGTATGTGCATAGGTTTTGCTCATGAACGCTCATTGAGTGCAGTTACTATGTTTATTTATTATGTATGGAAGATTTTTTCAACAGCTCTCAGTTCGAGTGATTCAATGATTCACCCTATTCTCTTCATTTTTGTTGAGTCCGTTCCGATTTATAAATATTTTATCGGAAATAGATCGCATAAAGAAAATTACATGAATCTACTCTTCCAATTTTCAGTAACCGAAACATCGATGATTGAACTGATATCTCTACACCCATCTTCACTAGCAAATAAATGTGTGCTAAAATTATGATGTGAATTCCTACTTGCATCTTTGACCAAAGGCACAGGCAATCTTTTATTAGTCAATCACTGTACGAAAAAAAATCATATCTTCAAATAAAAAAGAAACTTTTATTTTCATACTCTAAGATCTGAATCACTACTGACTACTTTAGAACAAGGGAATAAAACGAGATCGTGTTACGCCGAAATACGAATGAAGTACAGTGAAGTAGGGTGAAGTATGAGTGAAATATTGTATTTCGTGCGTACTTCAGTTGTACTTCATATGTCCTGTAGAGTACTGAAGTTTTCCTTTTGTCTGCTTGTATTCTACGCATATTATGAGTAACAAACATTGTATTGTATATAAAACATTTTTGAACAGAAAAAAATAATAAAATATCACTCATATGTTAATTAATTTTTAGATTTATAGAGTAATAAAAAAAATGTTTATTTCTGAGCGCACAACTCTGGACTAATGGCAAATTATGAAAAATGTTTTTTTATTAGATATAGGAACAAAGTTTTCATAAAGAGAATGGCAAGTGCGTTGAATGGAAGAAAAAAAAAATATATATATTAAACACTTGAGTTTTATTGACCGTAAGATTGAAATGACTGGAAAAGATACGATTTGTTGTACTTTTTTTGATTTTTATATCTTTGCAAATTCATTAGTATTTATTGTAATTGATTATGAGTTTTATGAAGCAAGGTCAAAAACTAACTATAAAGGGCAGGGATATAGAAGAATGCATATTTGCCTCTTTTGATGTTAATTACTGAAATCAATTGGGTGTAAGTGTAAATAAAACCATCGCTCACACACAATAAAATACTGCATTGGTTTTTGGCCGTATTTGCAGACGAGACGGTGAATTTAGACAGGAACTTATACTTTTTTCCTCATGGTTTTTTGCTCTACTGGTTGAATGAGCACTAATGCAGCAAGAAAGAGTGCTAGATGACTGAAACTTCTAGGATAGGTAACGGACATAGAGTAGAATTATTTGTAGAAACAACGGAGATGTATAAGAGACTGATTTTTAAGTAATATAGCTCATAACTGAATGATGATAAAAGTTCTTTGATATATTTCCGAATGAGATTGTCTTTTTTCTTAAATATCAGTCGATAGAGCAAAATGGAAGCAATTAAATGATATATAATTCATTAGATTCTGAGCTGGTTCAATGTACCTAAAGTGCATATAATGTTCGACGGTATGAAAATGGCACTTTTTCACTTATTCTAAGCATATTTTATAAGAACAACTTGATTTTTGAGAAAAAAAGAAGAATGGTATATTTAAAACCAGTATGGAAACTTAAGCCCATTCACATACTTTTAATAATCCTCCGAGTACTTTGATTGTCGTCGACAAATGTAACTAGAGTTCTCTTCTCCGGATATGGTCGAAAAGTACAATCAATTAGAAGATTGTTTTTAATAATCAACCTATTGTTGTTTTGGATTTTCTTAACTTTTAAGAATTGCAGAGTACGATTAAAACTTGGAGTGGATTCATTCTTTGACTTAATCCTAAGGGAAACTACAGCAAAATTTTTCAAGGAAAATGAAAGTACTCGGAGGATTTGTAACAATATATAAATTGTTCAGTTGTGGTCGATAGAACCACGCTAGACAGAAACGCACTATTTCTCATGTTTGGTCGTTTTAATGAAATAATAGCGAAACAATAACGGTTTTTATATGTGGGAATACATAATTAAATTCTCTTTCTAACCAATATAAATTGAGTTTATATCATTGCTCAAATATTCTACATAAGGAGCTACCATCAAACAAGTAGACCTGCAATGAGAGCCTAATGCTCTTTTTGTGGTTAACTTACTTTGACAATGACTTGTCACTCACAAAATTTTACTTTAACTCATTACCAGAAAGTACATCTCATTTTGCTACATTTATTTACTAATAAAGTGGCTGAAAATATTATGTAGTCTAAAATTAATGCTTTATACGTACCCATCCTTTCAAGACTTTCACTCCTTCTTGAACAGAGATATAAGCTTTTCAATGTTTCAGTAGCATCCACTGTAAGGAAGAAAAATCACTACTTTTTGTAAAATAGTATTTAGAAAGAATGTTCTTCTATAGGAGTAAAGATATGGATCCACCTCATATGTCACGGACATGACGTACGTCTTTGCCAAGAGTCATCAGACACATGACAGACATCGTTAACAACGTCTCTCCTTCATCCAAGACTGTAACAGATTCCGGAGCACCACTCCCTTCGTCACCTTCACCTCCTGAACGATATACTATGACAGACATCGTTCATATACGAGCAGAGTTCGCATCTCAATAACGTATCTTTGTAACACTTGAGCTACTTCCTTATTGCATTTCTGGAAGATTAAATAAAAGATCGGTGAAGGAATTGTGTCCAAAAATAAGCAGAATGATAAAGTCTCTTTGTGATTAATAACTGCAACTACATCTTGTCTTACATCATAATTCTGTAAGGGTTTGACGAGCAGTTTCTTCTTGATCATAGATACATTGTTCTATTACATAGGCGTTTGAATCTCAGCTTCCATATCTACTTATCTTCTGTTGTTTTTCAGAATTTCCTTCTTTTCAAAGATCAATTTTCAATAAATTGCATGAAATTCTTGTCAAACTTTCCTAACATGTTTAGTTATTGAGATCATATTATAAAATAAAAACTTTTGCGGCTCTGATCCTTACTATTGAGAAGATTGTCAGAAAAGATAGTGAAAAATAGAGGTTTAATGTGTGCGAATGTTTTTCCAATATGCCACAATCTACAGCGCTCGGACCATTCTCATATTAAGGATAGCTTCGAACGGCTTCAAATGAAGAAAACATCTTTTTCGTTTTTACTTTATTTACTTTTTGGCATCCACAAAATCTTAGACAATACTTTCTAGAAAACCTTTGATTACTTTGATGTCGAGAATCGAATCGGAAATTTCTTCTCTCCAATCGTACTAGTATGCATCTATCTATCGAATAAAAAAATCAAGCAGCTCACTTGAATGAACACTATCAAAAAGGACTTTGTTTAAACACAAAAACTAATCTCGAGAAAAATGCGCGAGCATTTTTTTAAGTATTTACTTGAAGAATTTCATAATATGAACATCAAAAATTCATCTAGAGTCTTATCGAATTGTTTTCGCAATTCATGAAAAGGTGGTGTAGCTACCTGTAATAGCGTTCATGATTTTCTTATGGATATAATATTCACTTTTTCGGTAGAGAACTCTACAAATCGATCATGATTTCTGAGAAAGTCTTTTAAACTTGAAAGTTATTCTTAAGAATTTCCAAATAAGATACCTCATTAGTCATAGCTATACGTTTATCGTAAAAAGTGTTCCTAAATACTCGAAACCGTGTTATTTGAATGATTTAACAAATTATTTTTTCTAAAAGCAGTCAACACATATTTTTATTTGTATTAATTATCTAAGCGTAAATAAACATACACGTTTCTTTAATTTAAAATTGTGTCTCGATATCTCTTTTTTAGCAGTGTCAATCA